AAATATATATATATATATATATATATATATATATATATATATATATATATATATATATATATAACCTTTAAGACTACATGAATTCATGAATTATATATATATATGGATATTTATAAACGTAATCTTAAAGAATACACATATTATATATATAAACTTAAAGAATGGATGTATTATATATATAAACATAAAGAATTCATGTATTATATATATAACCCTAAAAAATACATGTATTTTATATATATAACCTTAAATAATACATGTATTATATATATATATATAACCTTAAAGAATACATGTATTATTATTATTATATATATATAAAGAATTCATGTAGTATATAGATAACCCTAAAAATACATGTATTATATACATATAAACTTAAAGAATACATGTATTATATAATATATATGTGACCTTAAAGAATACATGTGATATAAATATATAAACTTAAAGAATACACGTGTTATGCATATATATAAATTAAAAGAACATGTGCTTATATATGTATATAAACTTAAACAATACATGTATTAATTTTTTAGAGGTGATGTTTACAAGGATGCCAAAAATCCAAGGTTTAAATTACATTTTTGTTCTGGAAAGATTCAGGTGCATGCTGATTGTGACACTTTTCGAAGACTGCATGGGCCGTCCCAGCAGCAATGCAATCTTAACAATTAAGACATACAGCCTTTAAATACCCCCCCCCCCCCCGATAACCATCATCAAATCTCATTGCCCTTCACTGAATAACATCTTGGAATTGTCACATTGCACAGTTCAAATGTTCATCTATTTAGTATGTGATGCAGTCATAGATTCATTAGCACCCTGCAACGTGCACGCAAAGGAAACACATAACTCTTTGTGTGACTTGAAAACACAAAAGTTGACTGAGGAGGAAGGTTCTCAAGCTGGCAACATTTGGCTACATGCAAAGCTACAACACCACAAGCTCTAATTCATGAGAATTACAAATTATGACATGAATTGTTTATTGTGACTTGTGCATTCAAAGATAATAAACCGGTTATCATGTTGTTCTTCCACTGTTCAAGTGTGGAACACATAGGCCTGTCTAGCCATAAACACATAGGCCTGTCTAACCATAAACACATAGGCCTGTCTAACCATAAACACATAGGCCTGTCTAGCCATAACACATAGGCCTGTCTAGCCATAAACACATAGGCCTGTCTAGCCATAAACACATAGGCCTGTCTAGCCATAAACACATAGGCCTGTCTAGCCATAAACACATAGGCCTAATATATATGTTTTGTATATATAGTATAGATATTATAAAAATATATATATATTAGTGTCTATATATATATAAAAAAAGAGAACATATATATAAAATATATATATATATATATATATATATATATATATATATATATATATATATATATATATATAACCTTTAAGACTACATGAATTCATGAATTATATATATATATGGATATTTATAAACGTAATCTTAAAGAATACACATATTATATATATAAACTTAAAGAATGGATGTATTATATATATAAACATAAAGAATTCATGTATTATATATATAACCCTAAAAAATACATGTATTTTATATATATAACCTTAAATAATACATGTATTATATATATATATATAACCTTAAAGAATACATGTATTATTATTATTATATATATATAAAGAATTCATGTAGTATATAGATAACCCTAAAAATACATGTATTATATACATATAAACTTAAAGAATACATGTATTATATAATATATATGTGACCTTAAAGAATACATGTGATATAAATATATAAACTTAAAGAATACACGTGTTATGCATATATATAAATTAAAAGAACATGTGCTTATATATGTATATAAACTTAAACAATACATGTATTAATTTTTTAGAGGTGATGTTTACAAGGATGCCAAAAATCCAAGGTTTAAATTACATTTTTGTTCTGGAAAGATTCAGGTGCATGCTGATTGTGACACTTTTCGAAGACTGCATGGGCCGTCCTAGCAGCAATGCAATCTTAACAATTAAGACATACAGCCTTTAAATACCCCCCCACCCCCGATAACCATCATCAAATCTCATTGCCCTTCACTGAATAACATCTTGGAATTGTCACATTGCACACCCCCGCTAATGGCAGAAATAAAAAAGGGCAGGCTATGCTGAGCGGGACACTTAGAGAGAATACCAAATGACAGAGGCGTGAAGAGGGTACATCACCAAAACCGCAGAGGAAAATGACTCAAAGGCAGACCTAGGCTTAGATGGATGGATGATGTGAAAAAAGATCCACAGCAGCTGGGAATCCAAGGATGGAAAAGAAAAGCATTAGTTAGGTCTGAGTGGAAGGAAGTGGTGAGGCAGGCCAAAGCCCTATATGGTCTGTAGTGCCACAAGGATCAATTAAGTTATATCTTCCATTCAGAGATTGCCATCTTCAACTAACCTTGTAGGAGTTTCCCCCGGAACTTTCATTTTCTGGTGCTGTAAACATTGCGTCTGGCTCTTAGGACAAAAAAAAATCAAACAGTTTTAATAAAGATGCACTTTATTTGATTGAAATTTAAATTTCTTAAGAAAGTAAGAAATTTTATATGGCATATCATCTCATGGAATTAGAAATATATTTTTATATATATGGCATATCATCTCAATGAATTAGATGTACATTTTTTTATGGCATATCATCTCATGGAAATAAAAGTAAATTTTTCCATCAGTTTTAACATTTACCCCCAAGAATGTTATGAAAAATTTGAACATTTCACTTACCCATGTCAAGGTCCAGAAAGCAAACATTCCCTTCTGGGTCAAAGGCCACAGTGTCAGGACTTATACAGAGAGACTGGAACAGGTCAGCACAATCATGGACATACTCCAGGGTAAGACAACACTCTCGGCACAAGGCCCATAACTCTATTTCCTCCAGGAATCTGCTCCTAGAAGCCAGGACTTCAGACAAAGATGCTGTCGACATTTCTGCAGCAGCCGCTCCACCTGAATCAATGTTGAACTCATCCATCGATGATGGGCTGTCATTATCCATGATGGATTGGCATTAAGTTAGTACTATATACACTGGATGCATTTAGTGGAGAGCTCTGGATACATATGTTCCTTGTATATCCTGAATAGATTTTAAAAACATATATAAATTGGAGTTTCTAGATATATAACCTTAAAGACCACATGTATTAAGTATATATATATATATATATATATATATATATATATATATATATATATATATATATATATTTTTATACTATATATATTTATTATATATATATATATATATATATATATAAACATAATTATAAAAAATACACATATTATATATATATATATAAAAAATATATATATTATATATATAAATATATATATATATATATAAATTTGTTTTTTTTTCTTCTTTTATCCACATGCCCACATGCTACTTACTTCTTTGGACTTTGCCACTGGTGGAATCTCTTGTACAACAGAGTGTCGTCCCATACAGTGCTCAGGTCGACAACATTAAATGTGATTCTCACCTTGGCTTTTGGCGGGACCTGGTTGGTAGAAAGATGTGGTTTTTACTCATTAAAAAGAACACAATGACAATGTTATTTAATAATATGTGGAACACATTTATAGATAATTATTCAACCAATTTAAAATAAAAGAAGAAATTATTGCCTAGAAAACTTGGTGTGAATTTGATGAATACATTCAATCGTGAAATGTTTACGAAGACTCAAAATGCTCTCTTTCCGTTGGTAATGAAAACAGAGCTACATGAGAGTATTTGGAATTTGTATATTTTATCCTATTTGACCAGTACTGGATCGGTTTAAGACATAAGCCGATTTTGCATTAGATTTTAATAGTAGGATATATATATATATTTACGAAAGACACACCAATTTTAACGGCAAAGATCTACTTAGTAATCTTTGATAGGTCTCCACGCTGCCCTGAAAAATGAATGAATTTTAACTTTGACCTCAAGACCCAATTTTTTTCGAAAATAAAATATATAGTTTGTTACAATAAATAACCACACACCAAAAAAAGAAACAGCCTTTTAAATGTTGCCCACCTCCTCCCTTT